CTTTGATGTACTTGTTGGCCGCAAGGTTTATTCGGATTTTCAAACTGAAATTTGATCCTTTGTGTTAAATCATATTTTTTTCTAAGTAATAAAATAAAACTCAGTAAATCAAGTAAACAAGGGTATTTTTAACCTCCGTAGAAAAGAGTTATTAAGTTCTTTAAAAAAAGAATAAATTAGAATTTCAAGAGAAAATCTGGAAAAGCTTTTATTTAGATTTAACGAACTTGGTACAGAATGTGAAATGTACGCAATAAGATTATGGCTAATTATTGAAGTTAATTTTTAAAGCTTTTGTGAGTTATAATTTTATCGTTTTAAATTCTTTCTAAGCAGAATTATTAAGGCATCAACTGAAAGCGCTTAATATAATCGTATCCGCTTTTATTATTTTTCTGAGAGCATGTCCTTTTTTATTTTACTATTCTTTTCGCTATTACTCATTACATCATTTCACTTCATAAGTATGTAAATGAATTACGAAGTTAGAAAAGTTCCATTATGATACATCGATTATCAGAGCGATAAAGTGTAAACTTAAGAACTTCAAGTAAAATCGTTTCATGTCGTTGCCAACGTTATTTATATGTGATCTTTTAAGTAATACTTGAAATTGCTTAGATGGCTTGAATTTTCGTTAGGTAATTTTGATTTCAAATAACATATTTTAGTTCAGTTAAAATTTAATGTCAGCAGGTTAACCGTTTCTCCAGGTTTTCTATGTTTGTTACTGTGAATAGTTAATTGAGCTACTATTAATTTATCAAATAAAACTATTAATTTATCAAATTAATAGTTTCAGCTTTTATGTACTACATTTTTTTAAGTTTTGCAAAAGATAGTTTGTAGTTATAATAAATTTAGTTTACATTTGTGTCTTTATTCAGCGTTCTGATTTTAATATATAATTTCCTAAAACAATAACTTACCAAAAGACGTAGATAACAATAACTCGGTAGAAGTTACCTACATTTTGTTACTCTGTAATTTATAAAGCTGGATAAACTGGCTGCCTGTTACTAATTTAAAATGAAAAAAGGTTGTCGAATTTCTTCATTCTGTCTAACAGATATTCCGTATAGAAAATGATGTGAATTATTCTCTATTACGAAAACAAAGAAGTAGTAACCAAAAATTCCAGAAATTTTTTTTTCTTGTTATGTTTTTAATAAAGGAAAATAATTTTTTATATAACAAGAAGTACCATCTTTCATTGCCGTCTATTAAAGAGTAAAAGGATGAATGATGTTTAATCAACTAATCCAGAGGAATCGGGTATTGCGAAAATATAAAAGAATGATATACTAAGTTTCTTTCTGTAATTAACTTAAATTCTTCAACCCTACTCAGACTACTACTCGAGTTATCACTCCTTCTGTAGAAGTGTAAATAATCTCTTTATTTAATAATCTTTTTATTTGAAACTTTAAATAGGACAAATTCATGACTTATGCTTTTAAATTTAATTTAAATCTACGTAGCTTGTGGGATATGGTAATAGAAACATGAACTTACATTTAAATTAATTAGGTGCGAATTTTATAGTGCAAAACCGCCAGAAAGCATTAAATCAGATTATTAAGTGCGTAACTGACTTCGGCTATCAAAATGGCTAATGCCAGATTACTAGTTCAGATATACGTGGAAGAGAATCGTACTATGGTCAGTGTCGCTGCCAAATGCTTTCTCTCTAAACTTTCAAGAAACTTAGTATATCATTTAAATATTCGCATCACGTTTACATCCTGGTGAAAATTAACGAAAGGAAGACGTGACAATAGGATTCTATATGATAAAACAAGGGTTAATTAACATAGGCTATACCATAGATTACCACAAAGTAAAACTGTGTATAGATAAATAGCTCTATTTGGAGTTCAGTTTCTGTTTCATTTGAAGTACATTCAGCTATTATGCACTATCTCCTTTTTTAACTGTTGAAATAAAACTGAAAGCTAAATATTGATAAAGATATTATAATAAGTAATAATTAAAAAAATTCTAAAGAGCTTAGATAAGACTAGCTTGTCAAGACTTAATGACATTTCATTCAAACTTTCTTTTCGATGGAGTTTGAGCACATGCAGATAGCAACTGAAAGATCTCAGATTCTTATCCAGGAAAAGGCACGATTGACGTTTTAGAGTTCCTGCTAAAAAAAGAAAGATAAAAATTATATGAAATAAAAAATAAAAAAAAAACATAAAAGCTTTCAGATTTTACATTACGTCCAAAGATGCGCTTTCTTGAAATTTTGTGTGTTACCTTTATTTATTAAATATCATGTTCTTCGCACTTAAACCATATAAAATTCAACAACACTGCATATATTTAAACACAACGTATACTTGGAATTTCCGATAAACGGCTGGAGATAAAAATGCTTTTTTTTCGTACAATGTTGTCATAGCTCGCTTTGAAATCGTTGATTTTATTAATAAGAAATTCCTTAATGTTTTACAAATAGATATGTATTGATACTAAAAACAAATTCGAAATTCAAAATTCGAGCTTGCAGGTGCCCGCGTTTGGGTGAAGTATTATACTCGTATTATTCAAAATTCGATGGCTCTAGGTACCGTCGTTTTTCACAATACGAAAAACATACATACATTCATGCAGATTCTTCATTATTTAATATCTTTAAATATAATACAGAGCGATAATATTTGGTTGCAACAATTTAAAACGTGATTCGCCGTTTATAGTGAAATGCCCCAAAATGCCATTTTGAGGCTAATAGCCCTTCTGGGCTGCTTTGGACTAAAAGTAAAATCTGAACTCTTTCAGATTTTACATTACTCCCAAATGGGCGTTTTGTTTCATTTACAAATTCATACAAGCGTGGAGAGCATTTGAAATAACGCCACATTCTGGTAACTACATGTGAAAACAATCATCTTTAGAATTTCCTATAGACAGTATCGCGTGCTGGAGGCAAAAACGTTTTATTCTCTACAGAATTGCCACTATTCGCTTTGAAACTGTTGAGTTTTTAATAAAAAAATTCGTTAAGGTTTCACAAATTATGAAATAGAAATAAAAAAATTCCAAATTCGGGCTTCCAGGTGACCATGCTGCCCAGGTATGTTATTCAAAATTTGGTGACTCTAGTTAGCAGTGTTTTTTCACAATGCGAGAAGATACATACATTCATGTAGATTCTTTATTATTTAATTCTTTTAAATAATATTTGGTAACGACAATTTGAAAAGTGATCTGATGCAAAATGGCGTTTTGAGACTAATAGCCCTTCTGAAATAATGGCCATTTAAGATAAAGAAAAAAGAAAAAAATATTAATGACTTCACCGAAATTTAAATAAAGTAAGCAGCTCGTTACTGTTATGATTTGGTTTATTAGATCTTGCCTAGAAACCTAGCTGCCTTTTCAATGCGAATGAGGGAATGCCAGGAAATAAAGTCATTCCTCCCTAGTATTCTTCTATTAAAGAGGAGGGGAGGACTGGTTAACAATTGGAAGATATAGAGCTCATCTGTGGGGAAGAGCATGGTTTATGTTTCAAGATTTTTACTCACAAACACATACACACAAACACACAAAACGTGACGGTTTCACAATTTAGTTGGAAAGAAAGAACTAAGGAATGTGAAAGAATAAACAATTAATGCATTGTTACATCATTGTATTCAAATGTGTTGGTAATTCTAAAGAAACTTATTCAGGTTTTATGCCAATTCTTAAAATCAAATAACTAAACCTTTCGAAAGGTCATATTAAAAATTATAGAGTTATGCTCTTATCTAAACAGATCATACCATCATTGTTCTAGTCAAAACCCCATCCTTAAGAAGGTTAAAAGTATAAATAATTTTAAAAATGAAAAAATAAATAAAAGTTGGAATGCCTAATCGTTATCGCTTCCATGTCTCGTTATTAATTTATTTCATTTACTTCATTTAAGCGACCCATTTTTTTATTTAAATATCTAAACAGCAGAATATTTTCGCTCCACAAACAAAAATTATCTTTGTCGCAATCTTTAGAAATTTATTGAGATTTTCTATGGAATAAACTCGCATATAAACAAGTGATGAATTTTGCTGGAATTTAAAATTTTAACCTGATGGATGTTTTTCCTATATATTGTGAACAGGCTTCGTGAAAGACAGAGGCTCCTGTACTACGCATCACTTGCCCATGCCCTAGCTAGAAAGTATGGTGTGCGAAAGGAGACGCATGTCAGGAAACGGAATTAATATGTTTACCTGAAGAGTAACTTCGACAACTTGCAGTTTCGATGTGTACGATAAACTAACTAGCCGGTACCCTTGAATGATCAACTCCTATTAAGGGTAAAAGGTATTTCTCCCGCTTTCCAGCTTGCCTTCGTGGTGTAACGGTAGCACGCTGGGTCGGTATTCCAGAGGTCCGTGGTTCGATTCCCGGCGAAGGCGTTGCTTATTTTTCCTCTCTCTGCCTCCAAAAAAAAATACCTAATGTTTCTAAAAGGGGTTTTGAACCAATTCGCATAAACAAGAAGATGATGAACTAGATTACTAGCAACTTATATATTGGTATATAAGTTGGTATTATCAAGCTGGTTTCAGCAGATTACAAGTCTTCAAAATCTCATTTCAAGTGTGTCTCTAAGCAGGAACATTAACTTTTTTTTAAAACTCAAAAAAATCAAATTTGAAAAAATCCTCCAATACATTAAATCAACGATTGCTTTCAATGATATTCTTTTTAACAAATCAAGATATAAGATATAAAACCTATTACGTCGCTGAATGCACTCAATACTCTTCTTCTTTGAATTCATTAAGGTTAACATATAAAAAACATTTTAATATCTGTATGCAACATCTATATTCTTATACGAATCATATTTCTTACATATTTTAATAAACCTTTCTTCTGATGTAATAATTGTGGAATTATGTTTATAAATTTTATGCAGTTATATGCTTGTATTAATATTATTTAATTATTAACAACATCTGTTTAATAAAATACTTTTTTCTCTCTTACTGAAGCACCAGTCACTAAAATTGGAATCCGCAAGAAATGTGACACTGATGTCACAAAATGGACGAGGTTTTGTGACCAACTTCCTCAGTCTTGGTACGATATTTTTTCTCTTCTATTCCGAGTTGCTGTATTAGTTTATTTATATTATGTATTGTTGCTGTATTATTTTATTATGTTTTTATTTTATTAGTTTCCTTTTATTTAAGACTACGCACATACGAATATATCATGCATTTTTTTAGCATCACCGTACGCAGCATTAAATCAAAATAATATTAGCTGTCTGAAGCCAAATTATTCTATTACACTGATATAATGTTATCATATAACTACTTACTTTTCTAGAACGTTTTCCGATTTGAAACTTCATAAACATCATTTTCGAAAAATTTACTTATAAATCTGCAAATGTAAGAGTGATTTGCAATTGATCTTTTACAAAGAAATAGTATTTTGCCTAACAAATACAAAAAAGTACAAGAAGTTGAATATTAAAATTATTTAAAATTTGATGGATTGGTGTTTACCCTGTAATGAATTATCGCATTTCCCCACTGCGTGTTTTTGTACTGTAATTGGTAACACATCTGCCTAGCATCGGAAGAACTGGAGTTAAAATCCTGGATAAGACAATGCTGATTTTTCATGTTTTTATGTTCCAGAAAAATTATAGCTATATTGCGGCGCCCAATTAAACAAATTGTGGTGGACGCTAATTCTTTACCATATGACTTAGGCAGACTCAGTCTCGTTCCCATCTCTCTAGTTCGAATTTCAATGAAAAAACTGTAAGAAATGTTCGCTACCTCACTGAGCGGTCCCCTGTGTGCAGTATTCATTCAAAGTCCTTCAGAACCTATTAGACTGACAAGCGAATTATGACTCTGTCTGAAATATCATAAAAAAGCCTTAATAAGGTTTATTAACTCTTGGAATGAAGAGAAATCGCATCGTGTGCGTATAAATAAACTCTTATTTGGAAGTATTTAAAAACAACAAAACCGAAATTTTAAATTAAAGGTATCCTATTCAGAGACTGTACAAATTGGGCTAATTAAGCTAGCTCAAAACATTAAGTGGCGCTTTTTAACGTCGGTTAGCAAAATGGCTAAAGCCAAGTCATTGGTAAAACTGGGAGATAAACTTTAAACTGCCGGCGTTGTTTCCAAGAGTTCTATATCTAAAACATTAAAAACCCTAGATTTAAATATCTTCCAGCCTAATTTGCAACCTGACGAGTGCTGCGGAAAGGAGAAGTTAGAGTAAATATTTAAATTATAACAATTGTTTAATTAACACAAATTACTAATTTACAGTGTATATGGTAGAACGCACGGCTAGCAGTCGGAAGATCCAAAGTTCGAGGTAATTCTTCGTGTCTTCTGTTCCAAGTAACTTAGCTTTACAAAACTACGCCATGCATTCTGATAAAATCTGTTTTAGATCTCTCTTTTTTCAATTTGTGTTATTCGGCTTTTCGAAAGATTCTATTTCTACTTTTTTTCCTTTGAATGCTTTCTCATGGTTAGCAAATTATTCTAACCTCACAGTTCACATAGTTCTAGAATTTTTACTACATGAAGAAAAGAAGGAAAGAAAATAACTTTATCAAAATTAATAATATGTTCATTTATCGTTATGCTTAAAGCCAATTAATTAACTATGTAAGTAAATAAAACTAATAGCAAAAATCGCCTATATTTTTCTCTGAAAAATAAATTTACGAAAAGATAGAAATCTGTTCTTTTTCTGAAAATGGATTCTTGTTTTAAAATAACGTAGGCAGTATAATTAAATGCGTAAATAAATAAAAACTAATCATTACCTTAAAGACGGGAGATAAGACTCATTAAACCTGAAAAGAGTAAAATGTTTTCGTATTGCTGTCACTCCTTTATTATATCATTCGAAATATATTCTTGCTTAACTAGTACATAGGCAACTACTTTTGGAATTTCCATTTTCCGTCACTAGAACGCAACTAACTAAACACTAAATGCAATACCTTAACCTTATGGAAGAAATTTCTTCCATAACGCATATATTATTTAGAAAAGCTAAATGAATACTGTTCTTTCATTTTACATTTGAGCATAAATTTAACATCTCTTAGATTACATCCACCTGTTATTGGTTATTCACCTGTTATACACCTGTTGTCTTGGTTGCGGCAAAACTCTCGGAGAAGACCGGAGATTTGCAAACGTGTAGTGGCTCTACAACATAGGGTCACTTAAAATACTAGCGAGTCGAAAATATTCTCGAGAGGTTAGTTGAAGAACAAGAGGGGTGGAAGATTTTTGTATCGGATGCCTGCGAATTCTTTTTAAAATCTGGGGCGGAACTGGGCAGATTGTAGGAAGGACACTTATATTAGGTGCCTAAGGCGTAATGACAGGCAAAACGTTTGCCTCTTCGTCGCGATAAAATTCATAGATTTAATCTAATGTTGTTGTCTGATAAATGGGATAAGGTCTAACATATATTATACCATTAGATACAATAATTTCAAAGGAAAGTTTCTATATTTCTTATATTTAATGATGCACGACACTAAGATTTATTGCAAAAAAAGACTTTTTTGCTTTTGCTCTAGAAAAGAAATCAAAGCTTTCGAAAAAATAAGTTTGTTTACCTCGAAAAGAAAACGAGGAAACTTTTGAAGAGAATTCGAAGAAACAAAATTATCTGCACCATTTTGCAATGCAATTCAAATACCATGTTTTTGACATTTTAAAACTAATGAGCGTTTTTCAAAGAATTTTCAGTCTAGTATGAAAAAGTAGATATATATATATATATATATGTTACGGTGAAAGACCGAAATCTAGAGAATGTCGACTTTCACCGGTGAATGTCAACATTCACATAATCTCTTGGTGTATGTCCGAAATATTTTCCAAATACTCTTATTTCTGACTTACACCGGTCAATGTCGACATTCACCACGTACTAATGGTGAATGTTGAACATATAACAATATTATATTTTCTTCTCCGTAATTCAGTCGCGAATAAACGCACTTGAAACTTGAAATAAGAACTTAAGAACATGAGAACCTAAAACACACAATACATCCAAAATGAGAAAGGAAAATAATAGAAGTTAAAAACTTACTTAATTATACAGTACATTCTAAATGAGAAAATAAAATAACAGTAATAAAAAACTTACTAAATTATGTGATTCAAATCTTATTTATTGCATCAACTTAAACTATTATGGCACTTTATGACCTCTCTTTTCGAATTACACCAGAGCATATCTGTGATTGTCGACATACACCGGTGAGGGTCCGAATATACAAGAATGTAGAGCAATATTCGATCTTTCACCAACGTATTTGGTGAATGTTAACATTCTCCGGTGAAAATCGACATTCTCCAATTTCGGTCTTTCACGGTAACATATATACTATTTGCAATGTTTTCAGGTACCTGTCTAGTTAGCTACACGTTCAAGTCTCGTTGTTAGTTACAATGAATATATATATTTAAATAATTAATTTTACTTAGAATTCTTTGTTAGTTAGCTTCTTTGAATCAATCTTGAAATTAATTTTTGACCATTGCCTATATTCAGTTCAATTTGGTTTTTAATTTTGTTTACATAGGTGTATATAAAAAATAGTATGAAGTTCCCTAGAAAGTTTTCCAAAATTTGACATAGATTTGTTTCTATTTGATATTGGAGATTTCTCATATGCGATTTAATAGTCAAACCCATCATTGCAGAATTTCTATTTCCGCACAGTCAAAACATAATCTTTTAAATTAAAATCTTTCAAAATTTCTAAAACGATTTACCGAATTTTGTCTGATTTAACATCATTAAATCTTATTAGTTATCGCTCAGTTATTAACAATGATGGATTTCTTTAAACATTTTTATGTCTGACACTAGGCTTTGGCCACTAATAAAGCCGGAAGTGGTGATCATTTTATTGTGGAGCTACCTAATAGGTGATCACCGTTACCACCTATGAAGGGACATACAATTTACATCCATGCCTTCTCCGGGATTCCAGCTCTGGCCCTTCAGTATAGCTGTCAATATACCTTACCAGTTTCCCATCTCAGCGGTTGGAATTTTAAACTGAAAAACTTATTCTTCGTATTTAGCAGTTACGTAGCTTTAACTGGTGATGGAAACGAATTTTTAATATACATAAATTTGAATGAATTTAATGTGTTTTAAATCCTCGAATAGATTGGAAGATTGCGAAAAAATGATAACATGCATACGTTATTATTACGATTATTGAAAGATATAATTTTCTTACGTACTAAGGTGATTTTTCTTTCTAAAATATATAAAACAAAATTAGTAGAATTTTAAGGTTATCACTGTTTTAGTTAAAGTCACTGAACAGTAAAAAATAATTCTTAATCATGTGAGTTAAAATTAAAATCCTAAAGTTCCCATATTTGAATTAAGTTAAGATACTGAAAGAATTTCAAGAAGCAATAGTACAGAAATGACATGTATAAGAATGATTAAATTCAATTCCCTTAAAGTTGTCATTAACAATTTTATAATAAAATCAATCATTGTTAGCCACAATTTTCTTTATTTGCAAAAACTGAGTTACTTAAAACCTTTTTACTCCTTTGTACGAAGTAAAGGAAGTAGCGTAATCGCGAAAAATTCCGGGTACCATATTTCAAAGAAAATATCCATTTTGACCGTTTTCGAATGCAAGTTAACGACTTTTCGCTTGACATCTGTACGTAAGAGCAGAATAAAGGACTCTTTATCCACAAGCGAATTATAAAACCGATTTAAAATGGATTCAGAAGAGATTTTTTCATAGCGTCTGTTCATGTATCTCGCATAACTCAAACATGAGTAAGCTCAAAGCTTCGAAATTTTGTGTATAGGACTGCTATAATATGTAGCTGTGCACTTCCCTTTTTGGTTGCAATCGGTCGCACCAAAAGTATATAAATGGCACCAAAAGTATATAAATGGCACCAAAAGTATATCTACTCGTCTCGGTGAGCTCGGCTATTTTTTAATTCTTATATGTTGGTAAATTGCGCATTTTTTAAAAACAAATGGCTGAATTATGTTGTTCTTATCTTCGGTTAACA